GGCCAATTATCTCCAGGCCTTACTCCCGAGTCGTCCCTTTTGTTTTAACTGTTTTTGCCTTCTGGTAGCTCTGTGCATGCGCACACTAGGAACAGGCTCCTCCTGTTCCTCTGCCTCTCTGATGTCCGACTCTGGAGGCTCCGGAGTCTGCGCATCACTCCCAGATGGCCCTGGCCCCATCTCTGCCTCCGACGCAGAGCCCTCGTCTGAGCCTTCCCCAGACTCCAGGACTGGCCCGTGTTCCTCCCCAGCCTCCTCACTGTCTGACTCCACTGCCAGCTCACCAGGCTGCTGGCAGACCACAAACAGGTGACATGGTTTGTGGGGAATGCTGCCACGGTTGTAAGTGCGAGGACTTAGTCACTTTTTTCAGGGTTTAACTTTGAAAGGTCGCTAAAAGAATGTTTGCAAAGCAAGGGCTATTTGTAAGACATAATGTTCCCTTGGTTATCTAATGGATAAATGTAGAACGAATACTTGTGGATCTGGAAGCACATTCAGATGTTGCACTGTTGTTAGCTAAGAACCCAATGTTTGTGCTAAACTGTATAATGAACAATTCAAGAAACTAGGTATGAGCAGTCCAGCGATGGCTAACCTTTTTGCCATCGTGTGCCAAAAGAGGGGGATTGTGGGACGGTCGCGTGTGTGCCCACACCGATAATTTTATATGCCCTGCTCCCCTGCGCATGTGCGCGACCCCCCCTTCCCGTGTTCCCCCCGCTTTTGGCATGTGATGGCACAGTGGACCCGGTAGGCCTGTTTTTTGCCCTCCCCAGGCTCCAGAGACTTTCTAGGAACCTGGGAAGGGCGAAAATAGCCTTCCCCACCACCCCCGGAGGCCAGAAACAGCCCCTTTGCTGACTTCCGGTGGGCCCAGAAGGCCCGAAAATCAGCTGGCCAGAGTGTGCATGTTGCCCAAGCTGAGCTAGGGCAACACTCGCGTGCCCACCAATATGGTTCCATGTGCCACCTGTGGCACGGGTGCCATACGTTCACCATCATGTATCTAGTCTACTGAAGAGAAGGATTCGGGGAAACATGTCACCTGCCTCCACTACTTGAGGGACTGTCTCACAGGGTAGAGTCAGCTTCGTTTCCAAAGCACCTAAAGGCAGGACAATGGGTGGAAAATCATATTTTCAAGAAGAGATTGAACAGCCATTTGTCCGGAATGGTATTGGATCACCTGTTTGAGCAGGGGGTTGGACTAGAGGACCTCCAAGGTCCCTTCAAACCCTATTATTCTATGTTCTATTTGTAAGAATAATAATAATAACTTTTATTTGCGGTCACAGACCAAAATACAAGTATTTGCAAGAAATAGATGGGAGGATAGACGGCGACTAAGACTGTGGATCTAAAAATCTCTGCTGCCATCTAGTGGCTGCCAGCTTCTTGCACTCAAGACCTGGTAATGAAAATCCTCCAGAAATGTCAAAATTGGATCTCCAAGCTGGAGTGGCCTTTTCATAAAATCTTACCAAGCAGAAATCTTACCCAAAATTTGGAGTAGAACAGGTTTCTCCTCAGGCATTCGACCCAGCGACCTTGCTTCATATCTCGGGGCAATCAGTGATGTGCTTTTGTCATTTTTGTGTCCGTTCCTTTCTCCTGCCGCTGATTGCGTTGCTGTTCCATCACCGTCTATGCTTAATTATGCTGAGATGAGAAACGGAAAGGCAAGCACATTTTTCAAATTAATTATCATTGTGAAAAGGCGAGAGGGGCTCAGTTGTGCAATTAATTTGGGGGGAAATATAAATTGGTTTCTGTAAACTATCCTGTATAGGAAGTCCTCAATTTACATTTGCAATGGCACTGAAAAAAAGTGACTTATAACCAGTTATCATACTTATAGGCCGTATTGTAATATCCTCAGGATCATGTGATCAAAATTCACAACTGACTCATATTTGTGATGGTTGCTGTGCCCCAGGGTCACACACAATCCCTTTTTGCGACCTTCTGACGAGCAAAGTCAATGAGGAAGCCAGATTCATTTAACAACAGTTTGATAGATAGCTTTATTGATTAGCCTATAGGCCAGTGATGGCTAACCTTTTTGCCACCGTGTGCCAGGAGCAGGGTGGGGGTGGGGGGGTCGTGCTCGCGTGCACCCACACCCATAATTCTATGCACCCATCTGGTCCCATTTGAAGTTGGCAAACAGGCCGTTTCTGGCCTCCAGAAGGCCTCTGTGGGGATGGGGAATGCTGTTTTCGCCCTCCCCAGACTCCTAGAAAGGCTCTAGAGGCTTGGGATAGCAAAAAATGGACCTTCCGGTCCCATTGGAAGTTGGCAAATGGGCCATTTCCGGTCTCCGGAGGGCTTCCGAGGGGAGGGGGGAGGCTGTTTTGGCCCTCCCCAGACTCCTAGAAAGGCTCTGGAGGCTGGGGACAGCAAAAAACGGGCCTTCCAGTCCCACCGGAAGTTGGCAAACAGGCCGTTTCTGGCCTCCGGAGGGCCTCCGTGGGGGTGGGGAAGGCTTTTTTCGCCCTCCCCAGACTCCTAGAAAGGCTCTGGAGGCTGGGGACAGCAAAAAATGGGCCTTTCCGCCACCCCCACCCACCCGCCCCGAGGTCCTCTGGAGGCAGGGAACAGCTTGTTTCACTACTTCTGGTGGGCCCAGAAAGCCCGAAAATCAGGTGGCCCGGAGCTGAGCTCGCGTGCCCACTGATATGGCTACACATGCCACCTGTGGCACGCATGCCATAGGTTCACCATCACGGCTATAGGCCATATCAAAGCACTAAGTTCAAACCAATAAAATCCTATCTAACAACAGTTGGGAGAAATTTAACAACTAGTGATTCATTTAACATCTATGGGAAGAAAGGTGGTGAAATGGGCCAAACTCACTTAACGTTTCACTTAGCACAGAAATTTTGTGCTCAATTTTGGTCATAAGTCAAGGAGTATCTGTAGTTTTTTAAAAAATGCTTTGGGAGCACATTATTCCTCGATCATTGAAGCATTGCTTTTAATACAATTGTAATACAATTTTTCTTTTTTTAGAAATTAGGAAGTTTCATGAGCCTATTCGAAGAGCCAGTTTAGTGTAATGGTCAAGGTAGTGGTTTAGAAACCAGGAGATGCGAGTTCTAATCCCACCTTAACCATGAAAGCTAGCTGGATGACTTTGGGCAACTCTCTCAGCCCAACCTACCTCACAGGTTTGGGGTTGTGGGCAAAAGAGAAGGAAGGAAGGAGAAGAAGGTATTCTTCAACTTACGACCGAAACTGAGCCCAAAATTTCTGTTGCTAAGTGAGACATTTGTTAAGTGAGTTTTGCCCCCATTTTATGACCTTTTTGCCACAGCTGCTAAGTGAATCACTCCATTGACATGGTTTGTCAGGTCGCAAAAGACGAAGACATGATCCAGGATGCTGCCACCGTCATAAATATGAGTCAGATGTTGTCAAACATCTGAATTTTGATCGTGTAACCATGGGACTGCTGCAACAAGTCCTAAGTGTGAAAAAAATGGTCATAAGTCACTTTTCCCGGCGCCGTTGTAACTTCAGTCATTAAAAGAACTGTTGCACATCGAGGACTACCTCCATGACCTGTAATAAAGGCAGGATAAAAAAAAATCTAATTAATAAATAATAATGGTATGAAGGCAGGATAAAGGGAAATACAAATAAGACAATGAGCTCAACGTTGCTTCCATGGGGGTTTTAGCCCCACAAAGGGTCCCATGAGGTCAGCATAACCAAGAGAGAGAGAGAGCAATACTGCCCCTCCACAGAAATTCTCTTTTTTTATGACCTTCCATGGAGGAGACTGAACTCGAACCCAAGACTCCCTGCTCCTAAACCAACATTTTTTTTAGCCCCTACATCAAACTGGCTCTCAAACTGACTCAACTAACCCCATTTTGCTGGCTTCCCAGGGCTCAAAAGCCCAGGTAAGCAACATTCAACAAACCTACATTCCAACTAACCAGGACTAGCTGGTTTAAACCCGGTTTAAAGCCTTCCACAAGACCAGCTCCAGGGAAAGGAGACACAAGGCCTTCTGCTTCAACCTGCTTCTTGCTAGTTACCCAAAACAGGGGTGAAAATGGCTGGGCCCCCCTTCTCTCCCATTCGGCAGCCATTTTTTTTTTTGAGGCCCCCAAATGAATATACACTCAAAATAAAACACTTCAATAAATAAAAGTTTGGTGGGAAAAGGACAGCCCTTATTTCTGCAGTATTGGTGAAACTTCATCACCTTGTTGCACTTAAATTTCCCTCCCTTTTTAATTTCATTTCGTTCACATTTTGGCCAACGTGGGGCCTTCTCCGCCTCGGGTACACCTTCAAATTGGCGGGAATTTTTCAGGTTGCCATGGCGATGAAGCGAACATGCGAGTGCGCAGGCGCGTATGTGGTCGCCATGGCGATTAGGGGACTCGTTTGGTGAATTAAGAAAAGAGCGCCGGCTGCGCTTTCTGATTACGTCATCTAGAATCATAGATTTACGAAAATAGATAGATAACAATATAGATAGATAGATAACTATAGATAGAACAGTTTATATAATTATGTTCCGAGTTCACTTAGAGAATATATTTTTTTGGTCGCAGAGTTTTCGCGCTGGAAATAGTATACTGACTTGTACATTATGAGGATTTATAGGTATTATATACTATGTATTATATTATATAATTCATCATATTCATATGTATTATATGAATGGTTGAACTCGTTAGAACACGAGACCCAATTATTCGAATTTAGAGGGTCTCTTTCGGAATGTACGGGGTCGGGAAAAGTCGACACCGGCTTAATGGGGCACAATTAGCCAATTAATTCCCTAATAGACAGATTGCAATTGATCTGCATTAAAAACAACGCTAAAAACGACGTTGAATGAAATTGACTCCTAATCCCGGAAAGTCGCATTTCTGAACATCTCTCCACTTTCGTTACTCTATAAGGGGGGGGAGAATAATAATCTGATGACGTCAAAGGCCGCGCCGCGGCGACAGCGGATGACGCCTGAACTCAGCGACGATGACAGATAGGAAGAAGCGTCGCGCTGTTTTTTTCTTTTCGCGATGCCGTTGGAAGCCGGGCCGGCTCGCCTTGTCCGCTCGGCCCAGAAGGACGAGCTCTACCGGGGAGCGCTGAAAAGCAGAGCCGGCTCCGTCTTCTCCGGCCTAGCGGGTGAGGCGCCTCCGCCTTCTCTCTTCCCCCCACCCTCCCCAGAGCCGTTTTCGGGGCTTTTTGCCTTAAAATTCAAATTTAAAATGAATTTATTGAAATAAATACAATATTGATATATATTGATAAGCCAGGTGGGCCTAGGAAACAAAATCCCGGAGAGATTTTGTGTGAGAGAAAGAACAAAGCAAAGACCCTTTTCAGAGTTTCAGATTTTGTCGTTTCATCAGTTATAATAAATATATAAATATAATAAATAAATAAATAAATAAATATAATAAATTAATTAATTAATAATAAACAGCCCAAAATACAAAATTATTTTATTTTATTTTTATAAGTAACTCAACATATTCAATAAACTTTCCTTCTTTCTCTCTCTCTCTTTTTTTTTTACCCACAACAACTTTCTGTGACTGGCCCAAAATCTGGCTTTCATGCCTAAGGCAGGACTAGAACTCGCAGCCTCGCATTTTCCAGTTAACCACTGGACCAAACTGGCATTATTATTATTATTGTTGTGATTATTTTGACTCCATATTTTACTTATATTATTTACCTGTTATTAGCCAACATATAAAAAGTTGTATAGTGTGTGTGTGTGTGTGTATACTAATCCAAAATATATTATCTGAAAATAATATATATTTTAAGTTCCGGAGATTGTGATGTCTGCCTCTTCTGTATACATACATTGCGATCTCCAGAACTTAAAATATATTATTTTCGGATAATATATTTTGGATTAGTTCCGGAGATCATGATGTCTGTCTCTTCTTTTATAGCTACACCTGGAACTCGTATTTTTAGGATAGTTTGAGATATATATAGAATATATATATGTATGTGTGTGTGTGTGTGTGTGTATAAATGTATACAAATATATATATATACATTTATATACACACTATATACTATATATATATATACTAAATACTAAAACACTATATATATATATATAAGATCTTGATTTACGTAGGAAAAACCTGGCTGAGACTAATACACATAAACACCTACAAAAAGAGAAATATATAAATATATATACATATACATACATATATATGTGTGTGTGTGTGTGTGTATTTTTCCTCTAGCCAGGTTTTTCCTACATAACCAAGGTTTTTCTGCAGCCCTAACTCAGTAGAATCACATCCACTCGATTCTGGGCTTTTTTCTTTCTGGCAGCCAGCAAGTTCTTGCTAGCTAATGAGAGCTAAATAGCTTGAAATAGATCTATAGTAGTCTCCCTTTATTTCTTTATCAGCAAATATATATACACACACACACACACACACACACACACACACACACACACACATATACATATATATACACACACACACACATATAGAATGGAACAGTGTTGCTTTTTTCTTGTCGTGTAATTCCATATATTCTGGCTCCTTAGGTGCTAAAATTTGGCTGGAATGGCAGAAAGAGATCGAACTCCTCGCTGACGTTGCCTATTTCACCCTTACTACCCTTTCAGGTAATGATTCTACCTAAATTTTTGCTAAATTTCTGATCGTTTCAAGTTTACTGAAAATTAGAGGAGTCCCGTCAAGTCTGACCCTGTGCTTGGGACAGGAATCTAAGATTAAAGCAGCTGAAATAGATGACTGTCCAACCATATGTCATAAATACACCTAACTCCTTCTTGTTTCATTTATATCTATTCCTTCTTCGTTCTTGATTGCTTGTCAGGAGCAATATATTTTTAATAAAGAGCTGTGGTGGCGCAGTGGTTAGAATGCAGTACTGCAGGCTACTTCTGCTGTTGAGACTCTAGAAAGAGTGCAGAGAAGAGCAATAAGGATGATTAGAGAGAGGCTAAAACATATGAAGAACGGTTGCAGGAACTGGGTATGTCTAGTTTAATGAAAAGAAGGACTAGGGGTGACATGATAGCAGTCTTCCAATATCTCAGGGGCTGCCCCAAAGAAGAGGGAGTCAAGCTATTCTCCAAAGCACCAGAAGGCAGGACAAGAACCAATGGCTGGAAACTCATCAAGGAGAGAAGCAACTTAGAACTAAGGAGAAATTTCCTGACAGGGAAAACCATTAATCCGTGGAACAACTTGCCACCAGAAGTTGTGAATGCTCCAACACTGGAAGTTTTTAATTAGAATTAGATTTTTTTCATATTGGCCAAGTGTGATTGGACACACAAGGAATTTGTCTTGGTGCATACGCTCTCGGTGTACATAAAAGAAAAGATATTAAGAAGAAATTGGATAACCATTTCTTTGAAGTGGTGTAGGGTTTCCTGCCTAAATGGGGTTGGACTAGAAGACCTCCAAGGTCCCTTCCAGATTCTATTCTATTCTATTCTATTCTATTCTATTCTATTCTATTCTATTCTATTCTATTCTTATTCTTATTCTTATTCTTATTCTTATTCCCTTCTATTTCGTTCTATCCCTTATTCTACTCTAATCCTATTCTATTCCATTCTGCATTCTATCCTTTCCTATTCTATTCCATTCTAAAGCTGCGTTCGTAATGATCTCTTCAGGGTTTCTGTCGTTGATTGCCTTTTTTCCCCCCTTTCAGGTTATCAAACCCTTGGTGAAGAATACGTCAACGTGATCCAAGTAGACCCATCAAAGAGGAAGGTCCCTTCGTTAAGACGCAGGGCCCTTTCGATCGCTCTGCACTCCGTCTTGCCTTACTTGTTAGACAAGGGACTGACCACGCTCGAGCAGGAGCTCGAGGCGGTCTCCAGCGGGTTACAGATTCCGCACCGCCGAACTTTAAGCGCGTCGCAAAGCCGGGCGCTACTCCGAAGCTGGTTGCAGAAACGGGTCAGACGATTAACCGAGTGGCAGAGATCGTTTCTCGCTCGGGCTGTCCGTCTCGTCAAGCAAAGCATCCCGTTTCTCCGGAGGTTCCATTTAGCTGTCTTTTATATGAACGGCATCTTCTACCATTTCTCTAAACGGACGACGGGGATCACATACGTGAGTCGGTTCCCGCGTGCTCCTGTTTCTAAATTGGGCGCCATCGCGGATGTAGAGAAGGAGGCTTAATCAATTTAAGTCAATGATGCCATCGTGGTGGTGTTTTTTTTCTTTCTGGAATGTTGGGGGGAAAAATGGGGATGATACGTATTCCAGTACTTAACTTGAAATACGTAATTTGCTTCCTTTTCATCGGAAAAGCTCCTAAATCACTTCTGGCATAAAAATTATCGAGGGATGATTTAGAGAGCCAGTTTGGTGTAGTGCAGGGGTCGGCAACTTCAAACCCTCAAAGCCACAAAAGTCCTAACCGGAATCCCCCCTTTCAATTCTGGAGCCGACCGGAAGTCTGGTTCCTCCACCATAGAGTCTCCTCCTAGTGCGGCGTCCTTTTTCCTCTACCTGTCCTAACCAAAGCCTTATCAATTGTGAAGCCGACTGGAAAACCCACCCCCTTGCCATAAAGTCTCCTGGCATTCCATGCTTCCCCCTCCACCAACCGGAAGCTCCTCTCAAAATTGTGGCGCCAACCAGTAACGGAGCCGCAGCAGAGGGATGAAAGAGCCACATGCGGCTCCAGAGCCATGGGTTGCCGACCCCTGGTGTAGTGGTTAAGGTGCTTGCTGGTCTTGAAACTAGGAGACTGTGAATTCTAGTCCCGCTTTACAGATGAGAGCCAGCTAGGTAACTTTGAGAACAGTCGCTTTTGCCTCAGCCCACCTCACAAGGGTGGCTGTTGTAGGGAAAAGAGGAGAACGGAGGAGTACTAGGTATGTTTCATCATCTTTTAACAACCCCATAATCCCTTGCGGGGTGGAGTCTGGCCAACTGAATGGAGCTACCATGTTTCCCCGAAAATAAGACCCTGACTTATATTTTTTTGAACCCTGAAATAAGCGCTTGGCCTTATTGCCATGCGCTCAAAAGCCCAATTGGGCTTATTATCAGGGAATAATGTCTTATTTTGGGGGAAACACAGTATCAGAGAGTTTTAATGGCCGGATGCCTTGCCTGTCGCCAGTGCGGAGTTTTGTTCAGCAGATATATTCTCAAGTGTGCCCAGAGAGAGAAATATCTGCCTCTACCGAGGATCGAACTCACAGCCTCCTGGTTGTGAGGTGAGAGCTCCACCTCTAGGTCACTGCACCCTCCCTAATATTTTTAATTTGATTTAATTTGGTTTACATGCCGCCCTTCTCCGGAGACTCAGGGCGGCTTACAATGCGTTAAGCAATAGCCTTCATCCTTTTGTATATTTATACAAAGTTGTATATTTATACAAAGTAATATTAGATATGTTCGCTGCCTATTTAAAAAATAATAAAGGGATTAATAAATAAAAAATAAAAAACTGCTTGATTGGGAGACTTTCCACAAGATGAAAGCGAACGCCTCAAAGCATTAATCTATTTGCAGGCAGCATCTTATAATCTTAAAAAGCGTAGTCTTTCTCACACGCGGAAACATTTGAACAGAGCTCCTTCTGTGACAAAAATCCTTCTTGGAGCATTAATTTACCTTCCGTTGATGGCTTGATTCTTCTTTTCCCCAGTTACGCTCTGTGGGTTTCACCGAAGACAACCAAAACATTAGGTCGACTTACAAGCTGCTTGGCATCGTTTCATTCCTGCATCTGGGGCTGACCCTTGGCATCTACGCGTACAACCTCCGACATCGCCAGAGGGCCCAAAAAGAATGGAAACTACACCGTAACCCCTCCTATCAGATGTATAAAGTCTAGATTTTCTTTTATTTACAGGGAAAGAGAATTGATATCAACAAGTAGCACCTCAGCGGCCTTTGAAATTTACGGTAGCTTTTAAAATGAGCTAACTAAGCTACGGTAGCTTTTAAAATGAACTAACTCCCACCAGGGAGTTATTTGGTGTTAAGAACGTTAAAAATGACTAAAAAAATACATCCCAGAAATACAGGTTTGTAAGGCATTGTACTTTAAAATGTGTTATTCCGAAAGGTTTTTATTGTGGTGCACAATCTGGACTTTTGGCCTATGGAATGTTGAGTTTTAAAGTATAAAAATACATGAGCAAAGCACCTATTGAAAGAAAGTAGATCAAGGAAATGGCCACATTTATAGATGATCATATTTGTAGATTCTGCCTGGAGGGAGATTCGCAGTTCCCTAAAACTTATATCTTGCAGAGATCAATCTCTCTTTAATCGGTGGAACGACTTGCCTCCAGAAGTTGTGAATGCTCCAAAACTGGAAGTTTTTAAGATGTTGGATAACCATTTGTCTGAAGGGGTGTAGGGTTTCCTTCCTAAGCAGGGGGTTGGACTAGAAGACCTCCAAGGTCCCTTCCAACTCTGTTTATTCTCTTCTTTTGGAATCGCCTTTCTCGCTGCAGAAGAGCAACTGTGTCTAATGTCATTCCTTTCAGAAGCCAACCCGAAGAGAAGATTCTTGGCCGCAATTCGCGTTGCTCTCTGTGCTTAGAAGAACGCCAACATGCCACAGCCACACCGTGCGGGCACCTCTTCTGTTGGGCATGCATCACTGCGTGGTGTAACACCAAGGTATGTGTTGGCCTCTCTCAAACTTTGCCCAAAGTTTGCAACGTGATGTTTTCTTACTGTTGTAAATTTCTACAGCAATGTATATATACAGGGTGTTAGGATTCTTTCTCCTTGGAGAGAGGCTCAGTGGCTAAGACACTGAGCTTGTCGATCAAAAGGTCGATATTTCAGCGGTTCGAATCCCTAGTGCCACGTAACAGGGTGAGCTCCCGTGACTTGTCCCGGCTTCTGCCAACCTAGCAGTTCGAAAGCACGTAAAAAGTACAAGTAGAAAAATAGGGACCCCCTTTGGTGGGAAGGGAACAGCGTTCTGTGCGCCTTTGGCGTTGAGTCATGCCAGCCACATGACCACAGAGATGTCTTCGGACAGCACTGGCTCTTCGGCTTTGAAATGGAGATGAGCAACGCCCCCTAGAGTCGGGAACGACTAGCACATATGTGCGAGGGGAACCTTTACCTTTAGGGAAAATAATTTGATAGGTGGTATTTTTTACATGCAGAGTGTTTTGATCACCGAACTCTAGAGCTAAAACTTGCAAAGTTTATCCGTCAGTCTGAGCAGCCATTGCTAATCGGCTGCAAGACCAGTTTTATAATTTATGACGCTTGAAACGTGAGAGCTACGCTGGTTTATTATACGTTAAATCATGTCAAAAAAAGTGAATTCTCTGATGCGAGGAGGCTGCCTTAAAGACGGGTGGTTTTTAAAGCAATTTGAAGGGTTTGCATTTCCTAATTTTTTTTTCCCTCCCACAGGCTGAGTGTCCTCTGTGTAGAGAGAAATTAAATCCCCAGAAGCTTATTTACCTTCGACACTTCCGGTAAATGGATGCCAGTCGGATTGCAAAGCGTCGAAGAGCCCAACGAGAATGCAAGCTTTGAACGAGCGCGAGATGTTATTTTGACAATAAAGGGCTGTGATCAAATGGAAGCCAAAACATTTTTGACTTTCGCTGCCTCTACAAGAAGAGACAAGCCTACATCGGTTTAAAACAAACTGCTGCTTATCCAGTTTTTGTCGGAGAGGTTTGAGGTCAGGAAGGAGGGCCGTCTCGAAAGCAGTTTCAAGACTTTTAGCCATCCTAGTGAATTTTGAATTCTGCGATTTTTATTTTAAGCATCCCTTCGGGATGAATAGCAATCTCCGACACCCCTCCATGCACAACATATCTGACACACGCAACTGCATTACCCCACTTATGGTGGAACTGGTTTTTTAAAACATTTCAAATCCAGAAGGGCTGTATAATGTAGTTATTGTGGGATGCCAGTCTCGTTAAAAACAGGTACGATGCTTTTGCATTCAATTTTACAGACTTGGCGGGTTTTAAAATTCAGTCACGCTTCCGTCAGCACCTCTGAAGCACCGCAGTGGCAGCTTTCTCAAAAAAGTCACTTGGCAAACCTCGAATAGCAGATTCAACAACCAACCCCGAAGTTTACATGTCTTTCTGTATTGCCAACTTCCGAGTTTAATGCAGCTTAAGCTGGATAGAGCTTGAGAGGCAAATTTTGAGATGAAGAGATCATAAATCAGAATCTTAGCTCCCGAACCCCTGCGAACCCCCATGCTCCTTGTCATCAAGCTGGGAAAAAAGACCATTTTAAAAGGAAGCAGAATTTCCTAGCCCACGAAGAGCCCACAGCCCCACCCCTTAAAAAAATTATGGTGTTGTAAAGGAGAAATGGATTTAAATGGCACAGAATATTTGAATATATTACCCCCTTTGCCAAATATGATGCAAATATTGACTAGTCAATAGCTATTTATCTCTCAAGATAAATGTGTGTAACAATAGTGCAAAGGGCTGTTTTTATTGAGACAGCTAAAATACAATATATGCCACAAGATTAAATGATAACGCATTTTAAAGAGAGCAGGGCGGAGAGAAACCATAATACATAAGCTTTTTACATTTGTTTTATAAAGACGGCTGAATCCAAGAACGGGACAAGGTCTTCGTTTTTTTAATAAACTTTTTTTTTTTTTTGGAATTTAAAAAGTCACTTAATAAAAACTGTCCGTAGCTATATCACACCGAAAATGCTTTTACATGCAGGCTGTTTTAAGATTTCTCTCCGTAGAAAATTAATATAAGCTTGGGCAAAAGCCCCATAAAGTTCAGTCTGCCAGTTCAATCTAGTTGCATCTTGGAAAGTTTGCTATGAAGCAAACTTTAAAAACAAAACAAAACAAAACAACCCTTTAGCAAAGAAATGTGTCAAAATACTCTTTACCTAATATCATATATATTCCAGGCTTTTTCCAAAATTTAAAAAAAAAAATAATATCTTGGAATAATTACAAAACGGCTTTTTTGACCGAAAAACCTCAAAAATAATAATAATACCAGCCACCCCATCTTCCACCTCTTCATTTTAAAAGCCAAGCTTGATTTCCGTCAGTCAGTCGAGACGAGGTTTAATTTGAAAACGCCCAAATTAAGTTAAAACTAGCAGGGAGGTATGGATTACTCAAATCTGAACGTGTATCGCTGCATCCCATTCTCGCAAATTACAATTCTCTCGTTTTCAGCAAGCAGATTAGGTTGGAGAATTACAAAAAATAATAATAATAATAACCGATCATTTTTCCTTAACTCTTCATACTAGCTGTCGGCCTTCCCAAAGAATATTCGGCTTCTAATTCCCTATTTTATTCCACGTGGAATACAATGCAAGAGGCGTCCTTTAGATATTTGTGAAGGCCGCCAGCCAAATCTGGAAAGCCAAGATCCCAGAGAGAGAGAGACGTACCTACTGTATGTGTAAACATGTGATAACGTCCGAAGGAAAACAAAATAAAAGGGAGGGGGGGGAAAGGAAGGCCGTGGACGGATAAAACAGAGCCGCAAAATTCAGAAGATGCGGTCGAAACGGCAGAATTCTGTGGACACGGAAAGGCATTAGGAATCAGACACACACAGACGCACGCCTACCCCTCTCGAATCCGCAGAAGAGACCGAAACGAATCCTCCGGATCGCTCATGGACGATCGATGATGAAGGACAGAGAGGCATCGTTACAATGGCTCAAAACCGATTTTTTTTAATTATAACGCTGGGGGGGTGGGAGGGGGGGGAGAAAAGTTGGTCAGCAAGGTTTGAAAGAGGGTTTTTTTTCTAGCTAGCAAAAGTTTTTCCTGGGTCTTCTTTTCCTTTATATCTCCTCTTGCCGTGGGTGAAGGGTATATATCGGTATTTTATCATATGCTGGAAATGAAAGGGGGGGGGAGAGAAAAAAAAGAAAAAACAGGTCTTAGAGACGCCGCCTCCCTGTTTTTTTCCCCACCTTCCAAAACGCGAGAAACGTCCCCCTAGGTTGATCAGACAGACGAGGGTTCCCCTTCAACGCACGACGTTAAGCTGTGGTTTTTCCGAGCAACCGGATGAGGGGTCGTAAATTAAGCCGCACATCTTCGGCTTTACGTGCTCTAGGGACCAGGAGTGGGCTTCAAAAATTTTAGCAAGGGGTTCTTGCTGGGTGGGCGTGGCCTAGTCAACCTCTTGCTGGGTGGGGCATGTTTTTGCCCTCCCCGGGCGCCGGAGGCTTTTCTTGAGCCTCCGGGAGGGTGAAAACGGCCTCCTCAGGCCCTCTGGAGGCTGGAAACAGGCCCGTTTCCGGTCTTCTTGAACTTCCGGTAGGCCCATTTTTTCGCCCTCCCTGAGCCTCCACGCGCGCCCTGCACTTACCTGCATCCAAAACGGGCCGCGTGGGGATTCCCGGGAGAGTGATGGGAGGGGCCAGCCAGGAGTGGGATATGGGGGTTCTCCAAACTGCACAGAATCTTAGCTAGAGGTTCGCCCCGAACCCCCAGCAACCCACCCCTGCTAGGGACGATAATAAAGGCTCGCCCAACAGATCGGGGGGGGGGGGGGGGTGTTACAACGATCCGCGGCTTGAGTGTGAACGTGGGCAGAGCGTGAAGAGCAGCTCCAAACAAGCTACTTTTCCGTGATCAAGTTTTATCTTCCCCCGTCACCCTTTGGGCAATGAGCGTCCGCAACCTGCTCGCCATGAAAGCCTAAATTTTTGTTAACTTTTGATATAATCCATCTCTGGCTGCATTCCCACGTTTCTTAAAACAGGACAGCAGCAATGGCACTTCTCTAGCGTGCCAAACCTGGTTAGTTGTATTTATTTTGCTTCCCAGGGCTATGCCAGCCCCTCTCCTCCACCCCCCAAAAAGGGGTGAATTCGGTGACCAGGGATTGTAGCATCTCACCTGTCTTTCCCCCTCGTTTCAGGGTCTAAAACGGGGGGTGTTTAATCTTGGCGACTTTTAAGACTGGTAAGACTTCAACTCCCAGAATTCCCCAGCCAACACGGGGTTGGGTTCGGGAATTCTGGGAGTCGGAAGTCCACCGGTCTTGAAAGCTTGCCGAGGTCGGGCAGCCTTTTCTCTAAAAGGCTTTTCTGTGCTCACCTTGATTTGCCTCTTCATCGTGATGCAGAACAGCATAATGAAATACATCACCAGAATCGGCCAAAACACTGGAACGTTGAAAGCTTCGAAGAATGTACAGGTCATGGCCACCAGGATGCCTTTCGTGGCAGAATGCCTTTGGGGAAGAAAGCCAAATCGGGATTCACAGATTAACAAGAGTCGGAAGGGACCTTGGAGGTCATCTAGTCCAACCCGCCACCCTCCCGAGCAGGAGGCCCTACACCATTTTCTGACAGAGGGCAGTCCAGTCTCTTCTCGAAAGCCTCCAGGGATGAAGCTCCCACAACTTCCGAAAGCAACTTCTGTTCCATCAGTTGGTTGCTCTGTCAGAAAATTCCTCCTTATTTCCAGGTTGAATCTCTCCTTGGTCAGTTTCCATCTATTATTCCTTGTCTGGCCTTTGGGTGCCTTGGAGAATAGCTTGACCCCCCTTCCTCCTCTCTGTGGCAGCCCCTCGAATATTGGAAGATGCTCTCCTGTCTCCCCTGGTCCTTCTCTTCACTAGACCAGCCATGCCCAGTTCCTGCAACCGTTCGTCGTATCTTTGAGCCTCCGGTCCCCTCATCCTCTTAGTTGCTCTTCTCGGCACTCTTTCCAGAGTCTCAACCTCTTTTTTTATAGTGTGGTGACCAAAACTGAATGTAGGATTCTAGGTGTGGTCTTACTAAGGCTTTATAGAGTGGTATTAGTGCCTCCCTTGATCTTGATTGTATCCCTCTGTTAATGCAATTTAGGATTGCATTGGCTTTTTTGGCTGCCACTGCACACGGCTGGCTCATATTTAACTGGTTGTCCACTAAGACTCCAAGATCCCTCTCTCACAGGTTTTTTTTTTTAAATTTGATTTATATGCCGCCCTTCTCCGAAGACTCAGGGCGGCTTACAATGCGCTAAGCAATAGCCTTCATCCTTTTGTATATTTATACAAAGTCAGCTTATTGCCCCCACAAACCGGGTCCTCAATTTACCTACCTTAGAAAGGATGGAAGGCTGAGTCAACCTTGAGCCTGGCGAGATTCGAACCTGCAGTAATTGCAGGCAGCTGGTCTTAATAACAGGGTGCTTTAGACCACTGTACTACCAAGGCTCTTGAGCAGTTACTGCTATTAAGCCTGGTTTCACCCAGTCTATAGGTGTCCGTTGGGTTTTTCTTGCCTAAGTGTCAAACTTTGCTTTTCTCTACGTTGAATTTCATTTTGTTAGATAAATTAGCGGGTAGAGACAATTGCACTCCATTCCCTGCCTTGCCAGGGTTGAGAAAGGCTGTTCTACATGTATGTCTTTACATGTACGAGAAGGAAGCCCCGGTTCATAAGAATTCAACTCACCAGAACTTGAATTCTGGCAGCCTCCGGATAAAAGGCCGGAATTCCTCGTTCTGTTTTGTCGGTAATGAAGGCCCTTCATCTGCAAAGAGGACAAATAATTATTTGGTAATATAGGAGGTGCTAAAAAAAAAAAAAAAATCTGCGGCTTGCTGACAACAGGCCATTCAAGCAGACGAAAGGACGTGAATTTTTTTAAAAATTGCTTTGCACGACGTACGTCGCACGTCCCAGGACCTCAAAGGTATCTCCCGGGTCGCTTCTCAAGGACGACACGCTACAAAGCGTTAAGGGTAGTCCTCGACTTAAGGCCACAACAGAGCTCCGAATCACGGCAGTGATTTAGTAACAGTGGTTGTTCAGTGAATTTAGCTTCCTCGTTGACACTTTGAAGGTTGCAAAAATTGATCGTCGTAAACACGGGATATTGCAACCGTCATAAATATACATGCCGGTTTGCCAAGTGTCTGAATTTCAATCACGTAACCATGGAGACGCTGCGACGGTCGTAAGCGTGAAAAACGGACGTAAGTCACTTTTTTTCAACGCCACTTGTAAACCAAGGACTATACCTGTAAATTGAGCTGTGATCTATGGTTTATAGAATCGAGCAGAAGTTGCTGTGATGATGATACAGGACACTAAGCCATAAACCATGGTTTAAAATCCAAGCGGAGGGCCACGCACAAGATACTTAAAAACAGTGCTAAAGAAAAATCACCTTAGATGAGGTAGCTCAAGGAACAAGCAAGATTTCTAAATTTAATTTAAATTTAAATTTATGCTGGGGCATGAGTGCACCAGCGTGCCTACTGTCCCTGTCCTAATATTCCTTTTTTACTTCCTCTTTTCACGTATTCAAATTATGTTTATACTTTTACCTGTTATCTTATATATGCCTGACAAATAAATTTAGGATTATGATTATGATCCGTCCGTAAAAATCAATGGTAGAAAATGCAAGCAAATTTGCCCAAAATTCCAACTTTTTACATACCTGAATCTTCCATGAGGGAGGGATCGACCTTTGGCGACAAGAAAGCTATGAAGAGATTTAGGTGGTAGATACCCAAGGCGTACGTCACGATATACCAACCCTGGGGACAAAGAGAGAGATTCAAGAATCAGGTTAGAGGGGAACTTGAGTTTCAAAAAAAATAAATAAACAAACACCCAGAAGTTACATGCCCTGTGGATCCATAATTAGCAATGCACAGGGCGATAATCAGAAGTCCAGAGAGGTCCTACAAGCAGCATGGCTGATAACAAGGGATTGCAGCAGTCGTGCTCCAAAATATGGGGAGCCCATGAACCAGGAGAGAAGGATAATAGGTAACAGTGTTGTGGCCTGTCCAGCAGCCGACTCGGAGGAGGAGGAGGAGGAGGTGTGGGAGTCAGGGTCAGCATCAAGGAAACCCGAGAGCTCCGAGGAGGAAGAGGGAATGGAGCTGGCAGAGAGAGAGAGGTGGAGCCTGGGCCGTCCATCAGCCCTCAGATGGAGAATCAACAGCCCCCAGGTCTGGAGGTGGCTGATGAGGAAGAGGAGGAACAGCTGGGTCCAGTGCCTGACGCACAGATGCACAGAAGGCAAAGAGGAGAGGAGAGCAGTGGAAATCTATGGGCCGGTCCTCGGGACGGAAGAGCCACTGCTGCTAGTGAAGCCCCACCCTAGCTCTGGGGATAAAAGGCAAGGGGCAGAGATGAATAGATGTGGCCGACAACTATTTATCTCCTTGATGGACAGACTTGTTCGCCTGCGGTGAGAGAGAAACTTTTTGCCGGGGCTGCCGGTGCTCCCAATAAAGGAATCATTGCTTCAACTACAGAGGGTTTGTCGTGTTCGGGGACAAATAGCAGGAGATAACAGAAGAACCCAAAGGGAAGATGTCTACGGAGATTCTCCAATATCCAGGTTCACGGCTGTCCCCAAAAAGGGTTTTTTTCCAAAAAGCAACTGTGTTTTTTTTTTCTTTCTTTGAAGACGTTTCGCTTCTCGTCCAAGAAGCTTCTTTAGTTCTTATCTACTCATCCAAGCTTCCTGGATGAGAAACGAAATGTGTACAATGTTTTTCAAGGAAAAAAAAAAAGTCCAGTTGCCTTTTGGGGGGTGGGGAAAAAAAAACCCACATTTGGGACAACTCACAGGACGGTGTTTCTCAGCCTTGGCAACTTGAAGATGTGTGGACTTCAACTCCCAGAATTCCCGAGACAACCAGCAAGGTTAAAAATAAATGGTATATGAAAAGTGGATGCAATTTACAAACCCAACTCTGACCCACCCTACAGAGCAATGGTGATATCCAAATTTTTTTACTGCTGGTTCTGTGGGCGTGGCAGGGGAAAGATACTGCAAAATTCCCTCCCCGCTCCAGGGAGAAGGATACTGCAAAATCCCCATTTCCTCCCCGCTCCTGGGGGGAAGGATACTGCAAAATCTCCATTCCCATCCCACTCTGGGGCCAGCCAGAGGTGGCATTTGCCGGTTCTCTGAACTACTCAAAATTTCCGCTATCGGTTCTCCAGAACCTGTCAGAACCTGCTGGATTTCACCCCTGCTACAGAGGCAATTCTCCATAGCAAGATAAAACCAAGAAGATTCTTTGTGGACTTATTTTTGGGCTCGTTTTTCCCAGCTTTAAATAGGTTTGTGGGGCTTGGAGGCAAGGCCCAAAGATCGAAGCTTAAAAACACGGGCAAGGAAACCCATCTTTTCACTGGCTAATATAAAATAATAAAGATTACGAGGCTAAATAAGAGGCCGCCAGTAATTAGCAACGGGTTGAACCGTCTCGCATTACTGGCAAAGGTTCCAGATGAAGGCAGGGAGCCCCGTTTTTGTTTTTTTTTTCCTTACCTGCAGTAAATAAACTCTAATCATGTAGATAAAACTTAAACCCAATGTTGCGACCCATCGGATTGTTGTGTACGGAGTAGATTTGTCTAGCCAGGACTGGTAAATCTAAGGGAAACACAAGATTTTCAGCATATTAAGTGAGGGTTGAACACGGCAAGCCTACAGCTGGGTCAAACCATAGTTGTGGAATACAGCTAGTATTAGAGAAATAAAAGAAAGGGAAGGAAGGAAAGAGAAAGAAAGGGGAAAGGAAGGAAGGAAGGAGGGAAGGAAGGAAGGGAGAAAGAAAGGCAGAAAGGTAGAAAGAAAGAGAAAAAAGGAGAAAGAAAGAAAGAAAGAAAGAAAGAAAGAAAGAGAAAGAAAGGGGAAGGAAAGGGGAAAGGAAGGAAGGAAGGAAGGAAGGAAGGAAGGAAGGAAAAAGGAGGGAGGGAAGGAAGGAAGGAGAAAGAAAGGAGAAAAAGGAAGGAAGGAGAAAGAAGGGAGGGAGGGAAGGAAGGAAAGAGAAAGAAAGAAAAAGAAAGGAGAAAAAGGAAGGAAGGAGGGAGGTAGGGAAGGAAGGGAGAAAGAAAGGTAGAAAGATAGAAAGAGAAGGAAGGAGAAAGAAAGGGGAAAGGAAGGAAGGAGAAAGGAGGGAGGAGAAAGGAGGGAGGGAAGGAAGGAAGGAGAAAGAAAGAAAGGAGAAGAAGGAAGGAAGGAGAAAGAAAGGGGAAAGAAAGGAGGGAGGGAGGGAAGGAAGGGAGAAAGAAAGGTAGAAAGGTAGAAAGAAAGAGAAGGAAGGAGAAAGAAAGAAAGAGGAAAGGAAGGAAGGAAGGAGAAAGAAGAGGAGGGAGGGAGGGAAGGAAGGAATTTTTGTAATAAATAAATAAAATTAAGCCACAATTAAAAGGATTCATCCAACACACTCCTTCCCACATCCCAGCAGAGGCCAGAGAAATCACTTCAGTATCAACTTAATTACAAATTAAATAAATAAATAAATAAATAAACTGTTTTAATCAGACCTGATCAAATACTAATGTAATTGGAGAGGCACCAACCCACCCTGGAGAGGTTTAGGGATCCGTTCGCCACCTGCGTGAAACTCACCTGTCCAAGTCTCGTGAAAAATCTAAAGACCACGGAAGGCTTCCCATGGATCGACTCACCGCTACTGTCCCCTTCTGACATTGTGGCTGCAGTGGGGAGGGAAAAAAAATCACGAAGAATTCAGCACATCGCCCTTGCACATACAAGCTGCCAGGAACTGCCCCTTGCCCGACGCGGCGTTACAATCATTCATTTAATGACCGTTTGAAGTTACGACAGCACTGAAAACAGCCACTTGCAATGGGGACGCCAGATTGTTTGGACTAACTTCATAACCCGCAGCAGCGAGAGAGGTCGTAAAACGGGACGGAACCCCCGCTTCGCACGTAGTCGCGGAAATGTTGGGCCTCGATTGCGGTCGTAAATCGAGGACCGCGTATACAAAACTTTCCCGCTTTGGGTTGTAGGATTGGCATGGATTGATTCTGGGTGGGGAGGAAAATTGCCGAGGAGTTGGGATTGCAAGGCAGAAAAAGCCTCTGAAAGCCAAATAAATCCTGCAAAATTCGCACTGACGGGATAAAACACACTAACCCAATACACCATATTCTATTGCCAGCTATATTTTACTCAGAGGTGTGTTTGTAGAGTACTCTACTTCCTCTTTGGAGCAAAACAAAACAAAACAAAAAAATCTCCTTTTCGTTCAAAAGGGAGACGAAGCTTTTATCTGCAACCTCTCCTGAACCTTCGATAATTAAGTCTTTGGCCCACAAATAAACCTTCAAAAGAGTTCCAATTTCTACAACGGTTCTTTTGGTGAAAAGCTGCATTTCTCGTTCAGCTACTCGGGGAATCGCTGGGAGGTGCGGTGCCACATCAGCGAAAGCCAGGAGACAGCTTCCTCGTACGTCAGGTTTGGGAGGGCGGAGAGAATGGAAATTCAGTTTCGTTCCAGGAAACAGGAAAGCAAAAAGGAGATTTTCGCGAAGAGGACAGCGTGTGAAGTGCTGCCTAGGAGGAAAATAATGACTGGGAAATCAGAGAGGAGGGCGGAAACAACCTTTTGACCCGTCATTTGGAATCTCCTGGAAGGTCAACAAGAATATTAGTGATATTATTAGCCTAGGAATCGGATTTAGGAATGGTAAGGTTTTCAGCAAAGGTGAAAAACTGACGCCCGAGGAAAAGAGAGCAAGTTTTTATGATGATGAAAGCATCCCAAACGAATTCCCACGCCAGCCACCGGTGAGAATATTCTCATAATTACAGCGACGAAGAACCCACAACGTGGGGGGGATAAAGGAAAGAATTCCAAAATGATAAACCGCAGCAATACAAGCGAAAGTCGAATTTAAAAGATCTTGGCTATGTTATCCAGTGAAACGACGAAGCCTCAAGTCGCCCATCGCTCCAAATGACAATTTAACCATGATTCTTGCTCCGTCAACCGTCACTCAACGAACCGTGTTTGCAAACCCAACTTAAAGTTAAAGCAATGGCAGAGTAATTTTTAGCCCAGTGGGAAATCACGAAGGATGTGAATAAAACCCGGGTGCTATTCGTTAGCACCCGGAATAATGTTAATGTGAAGTTTCCGAAAGATGCCCTAATTAATTCAAAAGCCATGAGCCGAACTTCAAAAGAAATACAGTCATTTATGAGGAGCACCATTTCGGCAATATTCGGATGCAGTTAGAACTAATCCCACGTAGATTTACGTTCCCCTATGTCTCTCCCCTCCTCTCTGGCCATGTCATAAATCACATTCTCCAATTAAGCACTTTGGCTGGCTGTGAAATCCAACACCCTCCTTCTGATTGCGGTCAGGGAGAATGTATGGAATGCACTATAGGGAAATCAATCAGCTCTATCAGTTCTCCCTCCCTCCCTGCTCATGGCAACTTGAAAGCTTTGCAAGTTGACAGTTAAGTTTTAATTCTACCCAAAGGATTTGTCTGGAGGTTACTTTTGACTCCGAATTGCAAAAACGCAACCACGTCAAATCCCAGTAGGTCATACAAGGCAGCTGGGCTGGGGAAAGAGCAAGGAAGGAAGGAAACGAAAGAGGCAGTTCTCTCCACCAAGTTCCACTTTTAAAACCAACTGAACTAAAAGCTGAAAGGGCTACAACAGCGTTAGCTTTCAATGAATTCTTTCAATTCAAAAGGCCCAATCCAGACTCTTCAGGTTCTCGATACCCTAATCCACATAAGATTTGATCCATAAACCATATAAAAAGCCAAGAACAATCGAACAGCCCAAAAGGGCATAAATAGAGGAAAAAAATAGAAAGAGAAAGAAAGGAAAGGAAAGAGAGAGAGAAAAAAAGAAATAATAAAACCAGATCAGCGCAAATAATAAATTACTCACTAGTCCAAAACCCAGGTGTTTGCCCAAAATATCCAACCAACTTTAAAACTTATGGTCTTCCATTCATTTCATGGCTGGCTGGGGGAATTCTGGGATTTGAAGCCTACAGGTCTTAAGATAGCCAAGATTGGACACCTCTTTCGTCCTTGCATCGTCCAAGGGAAGTCCGACTTTCCATATTAATTTAGAGGCAATTCAGGCCAGTGACTAACTAAAGCGTTTCTGCTTTGCTCACCTTTAACTCTTTATTATAAATGTGCCAAACGTTATAAATTTCTCTTCCCGACCAGACAAGCAAGCTGCAGAAATTGTTATTTTGCTGACTGGCACCTTATATTTTGCTTTCCCCAGCCTCCAGAGCCTTTCTAGGAGTCTGGGGAGGGCGAAAACAGCCTTTCCCACCCTCCTGGAGGCCCTCCGGAGGCCGGAAACGGCCTGTTTGCCAATTTCCAGTGGGACCTCCTGCGCGCCGGAGCTGAGCTCGCGTGCCCACCGATATGGCTACACGCATTGCACGCGTGTCATCGGTTCGCCATCACGGCCCTATGTCACCGCAGACAAGTCGCTGTCCAGTCTCTTTCAGGAGAAGCTCTCGTGATGATGGAGCACCCACAATTTATGAAGGCAAGTTCTCAAGAAAAGGCGAGCAAAGCTTAAAAGGAGAGGTAGAAGAATTACAATTTACGAAGATCGCAGGGAAAAAGATTTCGGTTTTGAGGTTTGTTTCAAAGCAATTATTTGAAGTCTGTGAATGCCGGCGGCTGCATTTTCACCTAAAGCGGGTTCAAAAATTTAAATACGGCTTAGGCTGTTACATGAACGCATGTCTCCTAAGGGGAGCAAAGCAAAAAGTATGATTGACAATCTACTAGGCACGCCTCGAAGAAAAATTCAGGGGAAAAAAAAAAACCTTCCACAGGGTTTAGTTTATTTAGTTTAGTTTATTTGATTTGTATACCGCCCTACTCCCGAAGGACTCAGGGCAGTGAACAGCCAAACAATAAAATACATAGATACAAAAAGTTTAAAAACCAGATAAAATCAAATTAAATCATTTTGGCCCAGACAGATTAAAACTGTCCAGGGTGTGTAAACTAAAGAAATCTGTCCTGGTTAATCATGTCTGTCATTCCTATCATTCAGCGACTTGATTAAAGGAGATAATTTTTTTTAAAAAAAATTATACCCGTGTTCAGCCAATTTCTGAATTTCTTCCGTGAAACCCATGGCACCCAACTGGTGGAAAAAATAAGGATTTTCTTAAGAAATTTGTTATCACACTCAAGAAGGCTGGAGATTGTAGTAGTTACACACCTAACCCTAATCTAATGGTTTTATCTCATTCCTTTGAACCCACTAATGTTGGCGGATTTCCTCCCCTTGGGCTAAGCCACAATTGAGGGAAAAGGCACCACCAGGTGAGCTAAAACTTCGGCGCTGGGTGTGAACGGGGATTATCTTGAATGAAAAGGAAATCCACCCCATTTGGCTCTTTGGAAAGGTGGGAAGGATAATGACAAGCCTCCAATCTCCCCATTAGAAACTTAAGGGTGGATCTGGGTGCGAATCTTCACGCCGATGTAAAGCTCACTGGGTGAAGTTGGCTTAACTGCTCTGTCTGACCTACCTCACAAGGGTGTTGTAGGATAAACTGAGGTACAACCCTCCCAAATAGATTGCCTAGACGTCCAAGGTCGAAATGGGGCGCCCGTCCTACAATACAGCTAGTCCCCGACGTTACGACCTCAATGGTGGCTCCCGTTGCAAAGCGAGACACTTGTGAAGCGAGCGTTATCCCTCCCCATTTTACGACCTCTCTCGCCGCCGTCGTTATTAGAACCGCCGCCGTTGTGAAGTTGGCCGCACGTCCGCTGAAGCGAATCTGGCTTCCCCGCTTGATTTTGAAGGTCGCAAAAAAAAAGGGGGAAATCACACGATACCCGGGACGTTGCAACCGTCATATGTCCGAGTCCGTCGCCAAAGCGTCTTGAATTCTGATCACGTGACACACACACACACACACACACACACCCAACGGAGATGCCGCAAACAGTTCTCCAATATGGGGGGGGGGGGAAAGGGTCCCAAATTCCCATATATATTTTTTTTCAGCGCCGCCGTAACTTCGGTCACTAAACGAATCATCGTTAAGTCGAGGACTACCTGCACCACCACTATAGCCAGCTCCCTAATTCAAACCCTGCACTCAAAATACATTCCCTTCCTCCTCCTCCTCCCAGCTCTGGACTACAGATCCCATCGCCCTGGCTGGGGATGATGGAGGCTGGAGTCCAAGAGAATTAATGGAAGCAACGCCTCCTTATCCCAAAAAAGGAGGGGGACACAGAGCCATCCCCTCCCGCCCCCCCCCCCACCCATGGCGGGACCCCATTTAGGAAAACTGGGGAGGGGGTAGAAGAGGCCCAGTGGGCTAAACCCCCCCCAGAACCCCCACCCGCCCTGGGCCCAGGTAATTAAGGTTGGGGTGCCCCCCCCCCGTCTCACCCGACCTGGAAGGCCTGGTTGCCAAGGCAACGGCCAGGCCGCGGCCTAGTCGGGCCGGGGGGTAACTCACCAGGCCGCGCCGGGTGTCCCCTCCTTCCGCTTCCCGCCCCGCCTGAACAGGCAGAGGAGCCGCCGCCGCTGCCGCCTCCTCCGACTCCTCCTCCACCTTCCGAGATGGCCGGCAGGAGAGCTTCCGCTACCGGGGCGAAGAGGAGGAGGATGAGGGTGGATGGAAAGAAGGCCAAGCAGCCGGGAAACCCCCGCCACACACACACCCCACACTAGGCCTCTGCCTGTCCTGATTTGAAAGAGGCCTAATAGATTGGACGAAGGCCTAGCCTCGGTTAGAAGGCCCTCAAGTTCGGGGAACTACAGCTCCCAGAATGCCTCAGCTATTCCAGGCGTAGAGGCGCACTTTGCCAAGGTGGAGAAACTACCGCTCCCAGAATGCCTCAGAAAACCAAGCCGCGGGCACACTCGCCAAAGTGGGGAAACTACCGCTCCCAGAAGGCCTCAGCCACGCCGGCCGGGGGGGCGCCAAGGTTGGGAAACTACCGCTCCCAGAAGGCCTCAAGCAGCCAAGGCGTTTGAGGCATTCTGGGAGCGGTAGTTCCCTCCTCTTCCCCGCAGAGGTTCATTGGCTTATTTATTTATTTATTTTATTTTATTAAATTTGTATACCGCCCTACTCCCTAAGGACTCAGGGCGGTGAACAGCCATAAAATAAAACATGTAGATACAAAATTTAAAATAAAGATAAAACTAATTAAATAAATTTGGCTGAGACATTTTAAAACCCCAATAAATTAAAACCAAATTTAAAATTCCATTTAAAAGAGGAAAAGTTTAGGTCAGGCCAGCTTGATGGCTTCTGATTTGTGCCCTAAGGATGGGCTCAATTGCAAACCTTTGGCCCAGCTGGCACGAGGGTGGGACAGGGTAATCCCCGCCCGGACTTCCTGCTGTGGTTTACGGGATATGTAGTCCCCCAGTTTGCCAGCAACAGATTGTCCACTCTTACAGGGGTGGGGAGTTGGGCAGACAGATCAAAGGGTTATTGATTGACAAAGACTGCTTTTCTCGATCCAGCTTGCTCTGGCAGGGATGGTTTTTTTTGGGAGAGCCTACCTCTCAGGGCTGTTGTGTCAATTAAAACAGCTAAAAGAAACTCATACGCTTATACAGACATAGCAATTTTAAGTACTCGGGCATCCAAGCTTGCTTTCAACCCCGTGGCTTAGTGCCACGGCCCAGCCTGGGTGGGGGAAGGGAGGGAGGGAGGGAAGGACTGCAGATCCCATCATCCCCAGCCTCTATGGTTGGCTCACCAAGCCATGGTGGTTTATATAGCCTTTATGTGCAAAATCCATCCTGCGTTTTTCCCTAGGTTGGAGAATTCCAACATCCTCTAACTCCCCGGACCGTGCGGGCTGGGGATCATGGGATCTGCAGTCCCTCCCGGACTCCTAAGGCAGGAAAAGCATTAAAACCGCCCCCCCCCCCACGGGCTCCCTTGCTTCTAGCCCCAGCCCCTCCGCGCATGCGCGCCACGCAGAAGCCCGAACCCCCTTCCCCCCCCCCTCCGAGGGAGGGGGAAAAAAAACCCACAAAGAAGCCTCGCCTCCTAGCAACGCGACAGCCAATCAGCGGCGGGATCCGATGGCGGCAAAACAGCGTCCCTTGAGGGAGACGGGGAAAAATGGCGGCTGAGGGAGCCGCTTCATACTGTGGGGAGATGAAAGACCAGCGGAGGAATGGTGAGGGGAGGAAAGCCGCGGCTTCGTGAAGGGGTTGGCTGTGCTGTGGAGGAGACGACGGGGGGGAAAAAAAAGGAGGCCGGGAAGGGCGTTCTCCCCGCGAAAAGGGGGATCGGTGGGCTCCCAAGTGGAGCCTCCTGGAGCAGGAGCAGTCTACCGGAATGCACGTCCGAAGGCCGGAGAGACAAGGCCGTGGTGTCGCCAAGGGGAGGAATTGGGTGTTCTCGGAATTTCCTGCCCCGCTTTTCATTTTTATTATTATTATTATTATTATTATTAATTATTAATTATTAATTATTAATTATTAATTATTAATTATTAATTATTATTATTATTTAGTTTATTCATTAAATATGAAACTCAGTCAACTGAACATTCAAAAATGCATCACAAATATCATTGACTGGTACTAATGGTCGATACGGGTTGCTGCTAGCATCCTAGGTATCAACCAATTATTATTATTGTTGTTATTATTATCTCTTTTATTCATTAAACATGAAACTCAGTCAACTGAACATTTAAAAATGCATCACAAATACCATTGACTGGTGCTAATGGTTGATACCGGTTGCTGCCAGCGTCCTAGGTCTCAACCAAGTATTATTATTATTATTATTATTATTATTATTATTATTATTATTATTATTATTTTATTCATTAAATATGAAACTCAGTCAAGTGAACATTTAAAAATGCATCACAAATACCATTGACTGGTGCTAATGGTTGATACCGGTTGCTGCCAGCGTCCTAGGGATCAACCAAGTATCTTCTTAAAATATACAATGTTCCAAGTTGTTGTTGTTGTTGTTATTATTATTACTATTATTATTTTGAGGTGTACATGGTAGAGAAGCCTGCCCTAGGTTTGCCAAGGTGAGCTGCTCTGAAGGGCAGAATGAATATCCTATTTATTTATTTTTTCCCTTTCCTTGCTACAGGTAGCCCTCGACTTGCAACACTTCGCTTAGTGACCGACCGAAGTTACAGCGGCACCGAAACAAGGGACTCGGGGACCAACTTTCACATTTAACGACCGTTGCAAGCATCCCCGTGGTCACATGATTTACATTCAGCTGCTTGGCAACCGACTCACATTCATGACGGCTGCAGCTTCCCAGGGTCACGTTATCCCCTTCGGCGACCTTCTGACGAGCAAAGTCACTAACTTAACAATGGCAGGGATTCACTTAACAAAAGAGGCAAGAAAAGATGTAAAGGGGGGCAAAATTCACTTAAACAACCGAAATTTTGGGCTCAGTTGTGGTCCTAAGTTAAAGGCTGCCTGTATTTCCAAAAACTGCCAGATGTTGACATTGTTTTGATGTTTCTCCCTCAATAATTTTCTGGCGTAATCTTTAAGAAGGTTTTATTCAGAAAAACAAAGACTTCCCAAGGGGGATATGTTGGGTTGTGTTCCGTACCAGGGTCAATTTTATAACTATTTTCAGAATTTCATGGTTTAGGGATTATAATTTCATATACAGCTTAGTCCTTGATTTACAATCACAATTGGGATGAGGCTTTCTGTTGGTAAAAGCAAGGCAGTTGTTGAATTGTGCCTTATTTTACACCCCCCCCCTTTTTTTTTTTTTTTTGCCATGGTGGTTAAACAAATTGCTGCGGTTGTTAAGTGAATCATGCTGTCATTAAGCGAATCCAGCTTCCCCCATTGATTTGGGCTTGTTGGAAGCCAGCTTGGAGAGGTCACCAATGGTGATCACATGATCTCAGGATTCTGCAGCTGCGGTAAGTACGTGCCAAGCGCCTGGATTTTGATCACCAGGCCCAGGTTAACGCTGTGATGGTCATAAGTGTGAGGACCGGTCATAAGACACTTTTTCCAGTGCTGCTGTCACTTTGAACAGTTGCAAAATGAATGGTTGTAAGCCAAGGACTGTATATATACCTTTTCAATGTAGGCAAGATCTATTTTCTCTCATTCCACAACATCCCTGCGCGGTAGGTTAAGCTGAAAAAGAATGACTGGTCCAAAGTCCCCCCCATTGAACTTTGAAGGGAGACTAACCCCTGCATCTCCCTGGTTCTAATCCAACTTTTAACCATAAAATTACATTTTTTTTCTCCATTACAGCTCCTTGCATACAATAAAACACTAGATTACATGAAGGAATGTGAAGGTTAGCTACTTTTCACACACAAAGACTTGTTATATTGTAGCCAAACTGGAGATCCAAAACATTTCCATCAGAAAAGTATTCGAAAACTTGCTAGGTTTGTTTTCTCAAAGTATCTTATCAAAATTGTTTCATTATTGTATTTTTAATATTTTTTTTACTTCTCTTGCCTTTAGGTTATGGACGTTACATTTATCCCAACTCCTTTTTCAAGTACGAAGGACAGTGGAAGCAAGGGAAAAAACATGGCAAGTTTTCTTTCTTTGTGTTTTATTCACTTCGGTATTTTGTGACCACCTTTTTAAATTATTTTTATTAATAACCCAAGGCAGCAAGCATACCTAAAACTCCTCCTTCCTCCTATTTTCTCCACAATACAAGCTCTGTAAAATGAATTGTTAGGCCAAGAAATAGCATCTTACCTAAGATCTGCCAATATGCTGATTGGCTGAAATACATTTCTAGACTCCCAGGCAAGTCTTTGAATACTAATTGGATACATCTGCATTTTTACTATTGTTAATTAAATATGGGTAGTCCTCGACTTACGAACACAATTGATTATGGTGATTCTGCAAAGATCGTAACTGAAAAACAGTTATAAGTCGCTTCTTTCAGTGCCGTTGTAACTAAATGAACTGTTGCAAGTTGAGTACCACCTGTAATTAATACACTTTAATTATTTAATTTTTAAAAATACGGAGAATGACCAGCAGATTAAGGGAAAAAAACCACTGAAAATAAAGCTAAAAACATATTCTGGTTTCTCTGTATAAATCTTTCACCTTTAATATAATCTTTTTGCAGTTGATCAAGATTCCAAATGCCCGTTTTATACTCAAAGGGAAGCAAAGAATGGCCCAGTCTTATCATTCAATATTTCCAAAAAGAGATGCATTTGATGGAATATATTTATACTCTTGACCAATAGATGGCATCAGAGCGATAACTTTTCACACCTACAGTATTTCATAATTTACAGTAATGGGCTACGGATAAGGTAGCCTTTAAAAGGCTACAAAAATTCTTTTTTTTCCCCCCCAATAGGCTAATTTGATTCCCTCACTGGCAATTTGGAAAGCAGGTCCACGCAGTATAAAGTATGAAGTATCAACCCACTCCTCTCTGTGGCAGCCCCTCAAATATTGGAAGACTGCTATTATGTCATCCCTAGTCTTTTTGGTCGTTAGATTAGATATATCCAATTCCAGCAACCGTTCTTCCTATGTTTCAGCCTCCAGTCACCTAAGCATCTTTGTTGCTCTTCTCTGCACTCTTTCTAGAGTCTCAACATCTTTTTGGGTATCGTGGTGACTAAAACTGGACACGATATTCCAAGTGTGTCCTCACCACTGCAGTATAGAAGGGACCTAACACTTTGAACTTTCTGTCTTTATTGACCATCAGCTATCAGCTTTATTAGTGACTTCATTCATCCCCTGTGAAATAGAGCCTTCCTGAAGGTTCCCCTTTGCAAAGAAAGCCCAATAAATTTCAAGATTTCAAACCCATCAAAGGCTTTTCTTTTTACCCAGAATGCATTTAACTGATCTTTCTTTTCCAGGACATGGGAAATTACTGCTCAAAGATGGAAGTTATTACGAAGGTGAATTTGTGGATGGAGAAATTGTTGGCCATGGACTCAGATACTGGGCATCAACAGGTTAGTTTTGTGATCGGTGCCTGTTGCAAAACAACAACAAAAAATGACTAACAAGTGTTTTTGTTAGTGTCCCATTCAGTGTCTCCAATCCCACCTTGGTATGTTTTGTTCCATTCTCCCCTTTCATCGATTTTCTATTTCTCGCCCTCTTGGTCAGCCGACTTAAACACTTTTTAACCCACGTCCAATGTTTTGGAGTCTTTTCTGTGATTATTGTTGCCCTAAATTTTGGCATTCTGCTGAGGAAGTCAACATTCCCCTCTTGAAGGAGTGATATGATGGGGGTGGGGGAATGGCCTCTCTTATTGCATCAAGTGGATAGAATTATGTGTGATAAGAACCTCCCCTCCAGGTGTGATAGCTAGAAATGGTAGGACATGCAGACCAACAGAACTTGGAGAAGCCTGACTGATAGAAAAGGGCTCCAGGGTAAGAGGTTGTGTTGCTCTGAGCTAACAATAAGTATTGAAGCACACAATCCTTCCTCAGGTATACATATTGTTCAAAACCAAAACTGAACCTAGTAAAGTCCTTCACCTTTCACACTAAAGACCCAATTTTGTTGCATTCTACCATGTTTCCCCGAAAATAAGTCCTCCCCGAAAATATGTAAATGCCTGCGCAGTTAGTCCCCGCCATTTCCTCTGGTTAGGATTAGGGAGACAGAGCTGGAAATCAGGAAAGACAGCAAGAGGAGCCCCGTCTTGCTCCACGCGCCCCAAAATAATAAGACCTCCCCGAAAATAAGGCCAAGCGCTTATTTCTGGGTTCAAAAAAAATATAAGACAGGGTCTTATTTTCGAGGAAACACGGTAGCTAATAAGCCCAATCGGGCTTTTGAGCGCATGGCTCCCGCTGCCTTAAGAAAGTTCAAACATTCTTAAAGATCCATCTCATCCTTTTTTTTTTTTAACTATTACCATCTGGCAGACGGTACAGGACAATAAAAACAAGAATAAGTTGAAAAACCTCTTCTATCCCAGAGCAGTAACTATCAAATTCTACTGTGTAGTGCAATATTAATGCAATATCGGGGGGTGGGGGGGGGGGTTCAATTCAATTGTATAGAATGTGAAGGATGTGTGTTTTGTGTTTTTTATTTTTTTATGTATAATGTACGCTGAAGATGGTATTTAATTTTGCTGTACGAGGACAATAAAAGTAAAACTGTAAATGATGTGAAGTGGCTAAAGCCACCTGATCCTTGTTAGGATTACCTTGAGAGACGTGCCTGCTTTGTCCCAAAGGATTTAGGATTCTCTTTTAATTGTATTCAGCATACCTCCTCCTCTGTAAAGAATTTGAGTGAACGTACGCCATCAAAAAGCTGTTAAGTTGTCTATGAAATAAAAGTACTTGTTCATCTCCTGAATCATAAAAAAAAAAAAAACACACAATCTCTGAATCTCTTTTGTTCTTTTCCTTCTTCCCCCCCCCCCCCACCCCCCCGCAGTAGCACTAACGTCTTTTTAAGATACCTTAGTATGAAAGACCTGAAGGAATTGCGGCTGTGATTCCATTAGTTTGTAAGATAAAGACCTAATGAACACTTCCTTTGTTCTTGAAGTTGTCCTGATAATAAAAAAAAAAGCAGCTGGTAATTACTCAGTTGGAATGTCTCATGCTGAGAAAGGCACCATCAAAATCTTTATGGGAATAGCAAGGATTATTAAACTGCATTTGCCACAGCTTCCCCTGAGTTTTTACTGTATTGTATTATTATTTTTTTGATTCAAGGAAATACTTATTCCGGCCAATTCCTCTTCGGAGAACTTCACGGGCACGGAGTTTTCCATTATGGCAATGGTGGCAGATATGAAGGAGAATTTTCTTACGGGATGAGAGAAGGTAAACAGGACAGAGTCCGTGCAGCTAGGGTGGGTTTCATATATCATAGTAAACTGGGCTTTATTTTAACATGGTTATTTAACAAGCTGTGATGCCTAGGTTTACGCACATGGGGAAGCCATTCAAAAATTGGCACATGCCATCGCTGACATTTGACACACCCTGTGGAGCCCGTTCCAGTGGCGTGAACCCAAATTAACTGAAGTGGGAAACCCTGTTGGTCGATCTGGAAGACTGGGAGAGAAACCTCCTGCTCGCATTTATCGGTGGGTTAGTTAATTAGTGGAGAGATGAGAATGTTAATTCACAAAATAGTTTTGGCCTAGGAGCATTGCATTAGCGTTCCAGTCTGGTCAAGATACTGATTTGTAACCAGGCTGCAAGGGAATCAGGGTGGATAAAAATCAATGCTTTTTTTAAAAAAAAAAAAAAAATTTAAAAATCGGAATTTTTTTATTTTTATCAAATTTATTTTAATAAAATGCTTTTGGGAGTAAAAATCTATCTAGTTTTCTATTTAAGATACATTAATAATTTAGTTTATTCAGGATGAAATGGAGCCTAGTTACGTAGCACGAGGCTGTATATTTAAAAAAAAATTGGGGGGGGGGCATTGTTTTGGCATCTATATAACGCAAAGTCTTCTTCATAGGCCATGGGTCACTGACGGAGAAGGATGGGGAGACTTACCAAGGAAGCTTTCATGACAACAAAAAACACGGAGGAGGGAAAATGACATTCCCGTGAGTTTGATGATTTTCTTCGGCCTTTATTTGGATTCAGGCTAGCAGACTTTCAGGAAGGAGCAAGAACCAAGATCCATAATTAGTCACAGAGCTCCGGAAGCAGAAGAGAAACTGAATGTGGTGTCTAACCAGTTAACATGGCTTAGTCTAAACTTACTAAAGCAGAGGTCTTCAAACTTGGCAGCTTTAAGACTTGTGGACTTCAACTCCCAGAATTCTGCAGCCAGCATAGCTGTGTCCACAAGCCTTAAAGCTGCCAAGTTTGAAGACCCCTGTACTAAAGCGTACTCTTTGCCCTCGGTTCCCCTCATTATGTCTGTCCTAGCACCATGTTTGACCCAACCTAGAAGGCCTTCATGCGTGAACAGGACCAGTATGACTTAAGCAGCTGAACTAGCAGCTAGAGAGACCTTGGCTTTACTTTGTGTTCAGATACTGCTAATGTGTTAAAAACAGTACATTCTCCAAGTTAAACTTTTGCTCTTTATGGACATCGGGGGGGGGGTGACTCTCATTTATTTATTTATTTTGCACGATGGGAGCAGATTTCCCCCTTGCCATCTTTCAGGCCAGGTGGGCTCAGTGGCTAAGACGCTGAGCTTGTCGATTGGAAAGGTCGCCAGTTCGGCGGTTCGAATCCCTAGTATAGGTCTCCTGCGTGAGCAGGGGGTCGGACTAGATGACCTCCAAGGCCCCTTCCAACTATTGTTACTACCTTTTCAATTTCCTAATTAAGCTTACAGCCCTGGAATTTCCTGGCCACCCAAGTCCTTAACTAGGCCTGCTTAGCTTTTGAGCTCAGGTTAAGGCTGGGAATTGCTACGTGATGTGGTACCTAGTTTATTGTCAAGTTGTTTCTCTTTATTTTTAGAAATGGAGATAAATTTGTGGGTGACTGGATCCTGGATCAAAGACAAGGCCACGGAGTTCTTCAGTGCTCTGATGGAACCGTGTATGAGGTAGAAGAACGTATCTCTTGATTTTCCTTTAAGTTCCCTAGCTATTTAGACACCTTCCCAGTGGCTCCATTGACACAGCATAAACTCCCAGGCACAACTGAATATGGCTACAGAATTTGTGACCCTGTGACGTTACTACAAAGCTAGAAAGTTGAGTCCATTCACCACAATTCAGCTTGATAGGGATTGTCCTGATTCATGAAACCGACAATTGCTTAATCTGCTTTGCGCTTACTTTTAAACTGAACTCCTTGTGGCCCCCTTTTTCTTCCAAAAAGCTAGATTGAAAAAACACTCTTAAATCCCTTGGGAACCCATCACACTGTTCATGTTTCCCAGCCATAAATGAACTGTCCATCTAAGCTTTTGCATGTAAGTTGCTTTGCTTCTTAGAATTTGCTGGAAGGTTATGTGTAGGCAGTGAGAGAGAGAGAGAGAGAGAGAAATAGAGATAGATAGATAGATAGATAGATAGATACCCTGTTTCCCTCCAAAATAAAACATCCCCTGATAATAAGCCCAATTGGGCTTTTGAGCACATGGCAATAAGGTCAAGTGCTTATTTCAAGGTTCAAAAAAATATAAGACAGGGTCTTATTTTCGGGGAAACACGATAGATAGATAGATAGATAGATAGATAGATAGATAGATAGATAGAGGATGGATAGATAGATGATAGATAGATAGATAGATAGATAGATAGATAGATAGATAGATGGATATGGATGGATGGATGGATGGATGGATGGATAGATAGATAGATAGATAGATAGATAGATGATAGATAGATAGATAGATAGATAGATAGATAGATAGATAGAGCTGAGCCTGGGTTTTTAATTGATCTGGATTATGCATTATGGTTTTCTTTGCTTCCCGGAGTTCCATTGGTTAGATGGGCAAGTGGGCACATTTGTTGAATAAACCATGAATGAATTCCCTTGACTGATCCTGTAAAACTGATGCTTTAGCTGTAATCAAATCTCAACGCCCAAGTTCTGATACTTTTAACAATGGCGTTTAACTGGACTTGGAATATTATCTGGTTTGGAACACTTAACGGATTCCTGCGATGTAGGCAGCTCTCCTTATCGTAACCGGGGCTGTTCCAGTGTTTATGCTGAGTTAGGCAGCTCCATGCTGTTGCCAGGGTTTGGACTACAACACCCCATCTTCCTAGGCCATTCATCCTGCTGGGTGGATCTGTTGTGAGCTGGAGACCAACGTTTCCTGTTTAGTGCCGAGCGATCCAGAAATTGCCATTTATTTGTGTGTGTGTCTGTGTGTGAGGTTAAGATGCCTTTTGCTTTGGCATCCCCTTAATAACACATGGCTTGTCCGGTCTCATTATTCAGAATGTGCATAAATGGCAATCAGGCGTAATAATGCAGGAAATTAAAAAATAGGCTCCCGCTGATGATCTGTCTGCTAAGATGTCAGATGCTTTCAGAGCAGCGCTTCCAAGGCCAGCTGAGTATCCCATCGATCGAAGCCGACAGAATTTCACAGCTTGTTGTAAACCCTTTGCCAAAAACGGAAGGGCTTACTCAGCTGATTGGCAGCCCTTCTCCAAATTGCCCCCAAAGAACTGGGCTGAAAACGAGGCTGCTTTTCTCCCTGACAAAAGTCCTCATTTTACCTACCTCGAAAGGATGGAAGGCTGAGTCAACCTTGAGCCTGGTGAGATTCGAACTTGCAGTAATTGCAGGTAGCTGGTGCTAATTAACAGCGCTTTCGTCTGCTGCGCCACCAAGGCTCTAAACCAAGAACCACAAGAGCCAACCATTTTTCACCACAAGCACAATTTGCATGTCGAGTCCTTCTCACTGCAAATGTGCCTACAGACACCTTGCAGGGAAGCATTGGGCTATACTCACACTGCAACCGTTGTGATGTAGGGGTGCTGGTGTTGGGCTAGGAGCAGGGAAGCCAGATTCTAGTTAACTGGAGGGCTTTGACGCAGCCTTTCTCTTACTCTGGTCCACCTTGCAGGGATGTTGCTATGGGGGAAAAACGGGAGAAGGAGGGAGTACTATGGCAATGCTGGTTTTGTGTTCAATGAACCCAACCAGCAACTAAGGCTTCTATAAAAGAAAAATTTCTTTTTCTGTCTTCCAAAATGGAGCCTGTTTTGTTCTTAACAGTTTTCAGATTTTAATTCAGAAAATCAATATGTTGTGCCTGTCAAGAAATCTTAAGGAAAATATTCCGGGTGAAACGTTTTCATGATTCTTTACGTTGCCCCGAAATAAATCAAGGAAAGAGTTTCCCAAGAAGGTTGGGAGAAGTCGAACAGCGGTGCCCAATCTCACAAGTTTCATTTCACACTTTTGTTGTTGTTGTTGTTGTTGTTTGCCTTAGCTCAATATCTGAATCCGTCCGTTGTGATGTATAAGCCATGATTTACGGCTTAGCGTGACGTCTGAAAAGGGTTAAAGGGAAGTTTCCACAGCCCTCAGCGGTGGCAATGAGAAAATATTGTACTGCTCCTTTATCAGGACTGCTTCGGCGTCTGCTTAGGCGCTGAAGCTGACTCATATTTTGTTAAACTTACCTTTTATATCGTGCCTGGTTTCTTCCTGAGCTCCTCACACTTCCTGTAAATTCTCAGACCAAACACCGCCAGTAATTATAGATCTGCTCTTGCAAGATCAATCTACTGACATTTCTTAAAAGGCTGCAACATTTCCAGTTGTCACTGTTCCCGCCATAAGCTGTTAGCTACGCATGAGAAAAAATTCCATTTAGACTCTGTTTTTCTACTTACCCTTAAGAATCCTGAATGTTCTTGCCTTTGGCTTCTCTTTTATCTTCTAATTTTAATATAATGTTATCAAACGTTGCAGATGTTTGTTGGTCTTTTCACAGCCAACCTCAGTGTACGTAGTTAAGATTGGCTCTATTTATAGCTATGGCTTTCTTTACTTTTTTCTTTTTGGCGAGTGTCTGAAAGTTTCAGTGTCATCGTTCTGGATTTTGGCAGTTTCGTAATAAGTAAATAAAAAGAGGCTGAGGTTAGGCATCAGGAGGAATTTCCTGATTGTATAGAGACTGTTAGTCAGTGGAACGGGCTGCCACAAGATATAGGGAGAGGCTGGACGGTCATCCATCAGAGATGTCCTGATAGATTTTGCCGTAAGCAGGGAGAGAGTCAAGATGACCTCTAAGGTCTCTTCCTATTTATTTATTTATTTATTTATTTGATTTTTAATTCCACCATTATTACTGTATAAGTAACTCAAGGCGACAAATGTACCGAATATTCCTCCTTTCTCCTATTTTCCCCACAAGAAGAATTCTGTGAGGCGAGTTGGCGGAGAGCAAACGAGTGGCCCAATGTCACCCAGCAAGCTTTCATGCCTGAGGCAGAACTAGAACTCGCCGTCTCCTAGTTTTTAGCCCAGCACCTTAACCACTAGATCTACCCTCCTGTGTACTTCTAAATCAGTGTTTTGCAACCTTGGAAACTTGGAGATGTGTGTGGACTTCAGTTTCCAGAATCTCCCAGCCCTCATGTTGAGAAACGCTGCTACAAATCTTATTTTATTTTTATTTTTTTTCTGTGCCTAGCCTTTTAAATATAACGTTGTATGGGTGGAGTTTTTGAAAGCATCATTGTGTTTCTGATTTAAAAAAAAATATTTTTCTATATTCTTGTTTTCATGGCAGCCCTAATATTGACAGGTGATTCCCCCCCACCCCTCCACCCCGGTTGGCCTTTTACTACTGACATATAATATTTTGTACCCAAACGAGGATTGTAATCCTTATAATCTAGTGAGGATGAGTTATTTGCCAGTTTGAACTCTTGGAAAGACATAATAAAAATAATTTAAAAAATAAAATAAACCAAGGGATAATGATCCCTTGAACGCCCTGTTGTATTCGTGTGTAACACAGCACTGGTGACATCTTATTTACCGAAATACAGAGTTGGCTTGTGGCAAGACGGCAGCAAATAAATGTAATTAATAAATAATGTTGAAGCATTGCTAACTGCCAATGGGGCAACCAGATTTAAACCATCCCGTAAGTGATGCTGTTTTTGTTTTCTACCACTTGGTGGCTCCCTCACAATTTGTTTTAAAGTTTTTGAATAGAGCCCAATAAATAAATAAATAAATGCCATATCTAAATTCCTGGGATCTTTCTGTATTTGAACCTGAGACTGGAGGGCAGGTAAAGCCGGGGGGGGGGGGGAGAGAAAAGAAGAATAATTTTCTTTTCAAGGAGCTAGCTTAAATTACTACATAGCTTGTACAATTCCGAATCAAAATGATCGCTAATTGAGGAAAGCTAAAGGTAAAGGTTCCCCTCACACATGTGTGTTAGTCGTTCCCGACTCTAGGGGGCGGTGCTCATCTCCATTTCAAAGCCGAAGAGCCAGACGTCTCCGTGGTCATGTGGCCGGCATGACTAAATGCCAAAGGCGCACGGAACGCTGTTCCCTTCCCACCAAAGGTGGCCCCTATTTTTTCTACTTGCATTTTTTTAACGTGCTTTCGAACTGCTAGGTTGGCAGAAGCTGGGACAAGTCACGGGAGCTCACCCCGTTATGCGGCACTGGGGATTCGAACCGCCGAACTGCCGACCTTTCGATCGACAAGATAAGCGTCTTAGCCACCACATCCCCTTGGAGGAAAGCTACATCAAGGAAAAAGAGAACGCCAGGCAACGAATTTGTTTTTCCTCCAAAAAGCTCGGGAAGGCACGGGAAAATCCTTTCCTTCGGCATTTCTTTGCCGCTCATAACAATTCCATGAAATAGGTTTTGGCCAATTCCAGGAGCAGGAAAAAAAAGAGGCTGGCTGAGAAGCTTTTTCAACTTTGCTGTCTCTGCCCTCAAACATCATCTTAGGTGCAAACAGGAGAAAAAAAAAACCCGACCAAGTTCACTTAAATTGATTTAATTGGATTTTAATATTGTTTTAAATTTTGTATCTGTGTATTTTATTTGCTGGCTGTTCACTGCCCCGAGTCCCTCGGGAGAGGGGGCGGTA